AAGTAAAAGAGGGGAATCGAGGAGTTAATCAGCAAGTGTGCCAGTGCTAAACTACGTAAACCCTTTGATTCTTACGTGATTAGATCTGGTTACCTTGTTGTCTAAGGCTCTCTTCATATATTTCATTTCAATTTCCCCTCAGTTCCTATCTACTTGTGGAACGACATGTTCGGAGATAGCTTTGGCAATTTTTCGGGACAGATGAGAAATAAAGTAAGAGCTAAGAAATAAAATATACGCAGAACATAGAGACAAGCAGTTGGAAAAAAGGTGATAGGAAGGTTCGAAAGTGTCCGATGAAAAAATAAATATATGAAGAGCTGAAACTCACGGGAGAGAAGTGCAAATTTGTTTCATGCACTCAGAGAGGTGAGTAGCCACGAATTGTTCCACATCCTCCTCCTTCACTTGTCTCGCCAGTCGCAAAGATCGTGAGGAGAGATTACCCTTCATCCAGTAGCGCATTGTCGAAATGCTGTTAAAAGACAACAACAAGTTAATTTCATTCGAGTTCACAAGATTATTCATGGAGTTTTAAGGATCGATTTAACGAATACACGAATCTACCATTCAGTTCGTGCAAAAAGAATTGAGTGTGAAAATGAGTCCTTTCCGGACTTTGAAAGTTTTGACACTAAACAAAAACATGCTAAACACATTCTTGTGAGAGTGAATCTCCGAGTCAGCTAAATTTCTTTTACGTGGTTTTTTTGTCTCATACGGAGAAAATTTAGGCGAAAAAACAGCAAACTCCCCTATACTGATACCGTCATCAAAATCCACTCAAGTCACCCCTATTTGGGCGGCAGATCCGCCAAACGAGCGGATAACAATTCCACAGCATTAGATTTTACCTCAACTCTCTGGATAATTTCACTAATCAACGTGGATCACTGCGGCAGTTGTGTCGGGAAGTGAGCTCGTGGTTTTGAAACTGCTTTTGGCAGAGTAAGGAAAACATTCTCATAAATTCAAAGGCTTCTGAACAAAACTTCTGATTTATGCTTTAAAAAAATCTAATCTCCACCTTGCAAGCAGCAGAGGTTTTAAAGCTCTTAAATTCTAGAATAGAAGCTTCCATTCCTAAAGCTACTAAAGACATAAAAGTATTGCCTTGTTAAAATATTTAAACCCACAAATAGTTCCTCCAATTTCACAAGTCTCTGAGAGAAATTAGGTCGCTCTTGGCTCAACTGGTCGAGTGAGGGATCAGCCAACTTGGAAAGGATCGCATCCCTCAGTCGGTGAAGCAATACTTCCACGGTCGCGGAACGTGATGGTGCTCAAGCAATGTGAGAAAATCGACGCTGATGAAAATCCCAAATGCTCAATTAGCTCTGCTCATCTAAGCAACAGTTAATGGCTCCAAAGCATGAAATTTTACTCATATTTTACAACCGACAAAGACTTCTTATTCCAGAAGTTGGTTTGTTTTCTTCGACCAAATTTTAATTTATCGAGGAAAGCTTATTTGAGCCGGCAAATACCCAGGGTTCAAACAGAAAATCCGCTTATTTTGCTCCCCAAAAACCGGTTCTTGACCTGTGTGCATCAGAGAAAGCAAAACGTTCCTAACTCTATGGAAGTCAAGTTTTGCTACCGTTATGCAGGATTTGAATAGATGAACCCAGAGTAATAAACCATTTGCATAAAAGCAAATTTTCACATAATTTAAATGGTTGGACCTGAACGGACGGGGTTATATTTCCTAGGAGATCCTGAATGATACACTTGCAGGAAAAGGCTAAATCTACCGTCAGAAGACGCTAATCCAAGATGTGATGGCTTTCTGTGGGTACATAAAATTCGGACAATCTCGTTGCTTGATTGAACTGACAGGAAAAATCATTTGCATGGAGATAGATGTGTCTCGTTCCAAGTTGACAATTTTTTAAGTGTTTGGCTGATTGAGTCAACTCAATTTGAGTCTAGTTGTAGTTAATTTTTCTGAATAGAAAAGGCCCGATTGAATCAGAGTAGGGCAAATCATTTCTAAGAGAATACATTCCTTAGTCATTTGAGCACCGAAACGAGCTTATGTATGCATTCATTTATTCACAGGAAAAGGTACTTCCGCCTTTTTTCAAACATTTTCAAAAGTGAATATGATTTCACGCCCTACCTTATCTGAGCGCCAGAAAACGCAAAGATCAAAGCCACCACTACTGAAATTACTGTGGGACATGTATATGCATATGTAATGCCACTAAAAATGCAAACAGGAAGTTTCCATGGTTATGGGAGAAGTAATAAAAAAATGCCCTTGCTTTAATTACATAATGCTAACTCGAGAAATCCGGACTAACACATTGTCTCAACATTGCGTGTAATCAAACCGTCTGGGCGTGTTTATGCTAAAGGTGCTCATAAGTGACCCGTGTCTCATGTGCATCTTAGGGGATAACCTGATAGCAACAGCGGGTGTGGGATATTCACGGAAAGCAGAGCTAGATTTAGTAACATATTCTGAAGCATGGTAGGTAGATATGCTAAAACTAAGCTAACTAATCCATGAAAATACTATCCTCTGTAACAGGTGGAGCACGCTAAGTGTGATTGGCTTTTACATTCGCCTCATAAGAGTCAATGGTCAGATTTTCGACCAAAATTGCCAACATTTAAAACTAGAAATAGTAGTTCCTTGGTCCAAGTTTGTCAGTGATAATATCTTTTTTTTCTCCTAAAGGAGTAAAGAAGTTATGCATCAAGTTGGCTATCACTTGGATGATACATTTACTCTCCAAGCCAAAATCTAGATCATTCCGTGAACAATAGTAAGTCAGTTAACTGTCTGCGAATGCAGTTGAAGGGTAGTAAGCGCTCCTAATCCCCTATTACGTTGAATTTAGGGGGAAGAAGACTTACCAGTTAGCAAGGGGATTGATTATGAGTTCAGTGTCGATACCAAAGACGGCAAAAATGAGAATTCCTTGGCCAAAATTGAAGATCTGGTCAATGAATTCCACTACCACAAAAACACCAGCCTCCATTTCTCGAACCAAGCGCCAGAGACAAATGCATATTCCCTACCAAGTTAAGACAATTTTATTATTTCAAGAGAAAAAGAGAAAGTATTCAGTACATTTAACAGAGAAATCTGTTTGCATACAGCATAGTAACTTTGAATTTAGCACAAACGATAGAAATATATCATTTGCCATCACCTAGGCAACCATCACAGCTGTTTGGGTATCACCCCCCTTCAAAGCAAAGTCGAGTCTTTTGTGGCTGGAATTACAAAGTAGGGCTGTCGGGACAACGCTACCTGAGATAGTAATGAAACGGTCTAAATGATCTGATATTTTCAACGGCATCGACTTTATTCACTGCAGTGAAACAATAATATCCTTCCTCATTTCTTCTCACTAGGTCCGTAATTTTCCCAGCACCAGTAAAGAGAGCTAAATTAGCTTTTTTGGCCCTTATGCATCTTATAATCGGTAAATGTGGAAAATAAGATCCACACAGGTAAAATAATGCTCGAAACAAGCGGAAAAGAAATCAGTGTTTGAATTAGAATGGCAAAAGAAAGCCGCATAAGATAATTTCAAGTCAATTTCACTCAAGTAGTTGCTTTCGGATAGCAAACTTGATGACGGTATTTGCTGGAGGTTACAGTTGACTGCATAAGTCAACTGGTGCATGACGTTTGCCTTGTGTAAAGTAAATTTGGTCACTTATTTGTGACGTCCACACTCGGAAGAAGACAAGGGCTGCCTAGGAGAATGGCACATTAATTTCATGTTGGCATGAGGGTCTTCTTATTTCGCCATCATTTCTTTCACCGATTTGGTGTTAGCGCAACCCAACCAGCTTTATGACCTCTCAGTCCTTCCGCATGCTTTATTACGCGTTAAGGGATGCCTCGAGACCCTATGTCAAACAGCTCCTACCAAAAATGCCCATTCCTCTGTGGTCAAGAGAACAATTGCTCCTATTTTTGCTTAGGAAAAATGGGTCCATACCTTAATCGAGGCAATCCTTCTACCTCACTCATCATCCCTACGTCACTTTTAATAGACATTCGACTTGATTTTCAGCAATAAAGGGAGACAGGTCAATGAAGGCAATAAAACTACAAAAAAAAACTTCCAAAACAATGAAAAAGAGGCGATAATATGTTTTTCTCTAATGTGAAATAAGCAGATAGTGAGATAACTTATTAAAATAGGCGTTAAGTGATATAAAAAATAATCATTTTTAAAACTCTATTGTGTTTCAAAAAGAAAGAGAAAACATTCCGGAGAGCAGCTTACAAAGAACATGCTAATCATGAGTAGGATGATGAGGATGAAGAAGCGATGCAAATTGGGCACCTCTGACTGATTCGAAAGTGGAGGCGGAAGATCATCCTCCTGGAAGGCCTCTTCACTGTCTGATTTATTTGACGATGCAACAGAGGAATTCCGATATTCAGTTCTCTCCACGGGAGATGTGGTGATCTGTTTTTCTCTAAGGAAAGAATTGTGTCATAAAGTTCTGGCTGGATATGCGGAAAAAAATCAACGGCCTTTACAAGTACCTACGGGTAGCGTTCAGATCAAAACGGGATCAACGTAACAAACTTCAAAGAATGGAAGTTTCATTCACTTCCCACATACAGAGCTCTCTGTTATACTTGTCCCGACCTACAAAACAGCTTTAAAATCTAATGGTTTGTGTATGATGTTTCACTTCTACGTTGGTCAAAAGTGGAAAATTGTCTTGGTAGCCATAAAAGGATTCTTCTCTTGAGCTATTTCACAACAGGTTACGGGTTGATCGGAATCATGAATCATGGAATCGAGGAATCATGAGGGTGAATGCTGCCAAAACAGGTTCATCGACATCCAAGCTTGGAACATTAAAATCTCCGGAATTTCTTACTGGAGCTGATCGTACCACAGACGAACTCTAAAAATACCTGCAGGTTTTGCGCCTTCGGTTCCAACAAAACTTCACATCTCACCAAGTGCTGATTAAGGATACCTGAACTGGACTGGCCTATGAAATTTGCGCCAGATAATACATGACAGTAATAGAACACACCTTTCACCTACAACTGCGTGGTGTAGAATCAGGGTAGCATGATCTTTAAAGTGGAAAATTAAGAAACCCATCCTGAACTGAACACGTGCCGAACGTAACCACTTTTCGTACCGACATCGCAGTTCCCGTACACAGTTGTGTTTCAAAGCCACTGATTGGCTTCAACAGAAAATGAGGAAAAAGCGTTAACTGTCAGTTAGTGAGACACCCACCTAGAACTTAGGACTCCTGTGAACGAGAAAATATGCAGATCCGGCACACACACACACACATCCATCATTTATGCAACCCATTGAAAAGGTATTCAGTTTTTCCGGACCAGGTTCAAGATACCTTCCCCTTTCTCTGTGGCCGTGACTGCAGCTAATGCTCGCCACCCCCACCACTAACCGGATCTTTCAATCCACTCGTAGGAAACTGTACGAAAGGTAACATTAACCCCCTGCCAACAGAGGTATATTTATGACTTTGGCACATCCATCCACCCACGCATTTTTTTCTTGCCAGACAAAGGTGGTCACAAAAATTGCTGAAAAATTAACGCCGCTCGGAAATTCACCGTTTCAAGGATTTCCAACCAATCCAACCAGCAGTTGTAGAAAGTGAAAGCTCACACGGCAATTACTCATTTGCTCACCTTAGACACTTCAGTAGCCATTTCATTGATGTTTAAGAGGGACGAAATCGTCCGCATATAGGACAGAAGTATAGGAAGTGGAAAAAAGGGCCGTGTGACACGTACTGCAAATCAGCGACCTCGTTTTCGTGCTGATGCAAGGCACCATCGTGAGGTGATGAATGAAGCAAGTCCGACGAATTGGATTTTTCTTCGTCAGGTGACACTGGCCTAAAACCAAAGAAAAAAGTCTGACTATCTTTCACAAGTACCCAGTGTAGCATTGCAGTGTACATAGAAAATAATTCAGACTTAATCTAGTGAATGCCTTACCAAAGACCTTCTAAATTCATCGTAAATTTTAGTTTCGGTCTACATATGGATTTTGAAAAAGGATTTTTGGAGACTAACAGTTAGATAAAAATAAACTTCTATTCATAAATATCGACGAGGAAGTCAAAGCTTAACTAATACCATGGAAAGTAAGTTTTGCTTCGGATAGCACATGGTAGAGCTCCAACTATTCTTCAGACTTCGACTCTTCAGCCTTCGTTCTAACGGTTGCTATGCCATCTCCATCCAATTATTCGTCTGTGAATTTTGCTCTACAAAAAGTGTTCTTCGCGCATAGAAGCATAGTTTTCATTCAAAGTTTGCAAACTCTTTCGCACGGTTGTTAAGTGTGAATTCACGCACAATTGAGTAAAGTAGGTTTTGAGGCTAATTTTTTTTTAAAGAATTGGTAGAGAAAAATCAACGACCAAAAACTGGTTTCCCAGGTCACTTTACAAATAATTAATGGTACTATTTTAATAGTGTAAGTGTACTTCCAAATTGTATTTATTCGACTTGGAAATTAAAAGCAATTACTTGGGATTTAAGGATGCAAACGAAAAGGTTTTATTATTAAAAATACGAAACAATGAAAATTGAACATTAAAACCACTCTAAACATGTTCTTTAGACGAACAAAACTGGGAGACAAATTTTTGCGTTAAATTTTAAGGCGTTTCCAAACACAAACTCGTAAACTAAAACAGTAGTGGTGGAAAACAATTTCCAAACTTAAAGGTTTCCCAACTGCAAAACAAAAACAACTCACTCATTTAAATGTGATAGTTCAGGTTCATCTCCAGTTTCCGGGGGAAGGAGGGGCGCGTATTCCACTTCTCTGGTGGTTTCAGTCGCATCCACTGCACCCGCGAAGTTGGAATGAGACCGTGATCTCTTGCTAGTTAAGCTCTAAAGAGTAAGGAAGAAGGAGAAATGCAACAAAGGGATACTAACAGGAGACTTTAAGCACAGCAGGGCACGGTGATAGGACGATTCACTGGCAGATAGCTGTGTGCCAGCGACGATCCCGGTCACAGCCCATATTGAAGCAGTTATTCAGCATGCTAAACAATCGACCCTAAACTGTCGATAGACGCGTGACTAGTCGACGCTAGATTCTGCAAGAAATAAGTCCTCTTAATGGCGACGGTGAAGAGAGCACAGGCATTGACGAACATTTTGGATCTTAAGAAGTTTGCACACGTTGGACGTGGACCAAAACAGTTTCCCACCTCTGACCGTTAACAAGGTGAGGCCGATTGTTCCAAGATTCTTGTTATAACAAGACTGACTTGCATTTATGGGCTAAATGCCGAGGTAAGTATATTTGAAGGAGTTCGGTTCGTACTCCCTGAAATGCTTTTTTTCCCTTCACGAGTTCAAAAGTTCCACCATTGCTTGAACGTCCATCGATTTGAGCTAATCTGACTTACAAGCAACCGCATTACCTTTTCTCTCCTCCATCAACACGAAATGAGTAGACTTTGGTGAGAACAACAGAAGAAAGGTCGAGCAGCATTAGGTTAATTAAAGGTTGAGCCTGTAGAAGCGTAATTACTTAAATTGGCTATTTTTGCCTTAGGGAGACAATACCAAGACTAGGAAAACTAACATTAAAAAACCAATTCCAAGCATGTATAGTAGTGCATAAAAACTGGCGCAAGAACCACCAACCATCCCAATAGTTAAAAGTAATGTTCGGTCTTAATGATTCATTCAATTGGCATGCAATTTTACCAGATTTTTAATCAACTTTGGAAAACAAGCAACCTCCTTATACACCGGTTGATTCAAACAAATCTCTATCCAAGACAACCGTGGATACTAATGACGCATGAAGAAAGCGAATAGTTAAGCGCGTAGCGCAAGGGAGACGCATTTTAACGAAAAGAAGCTTTCTGAAGAAATATTTACTACTGAAGACAATATCCAATGCAAAAACTAACGGTGTGGGTGCGTGTATTCTTAGGGCCATAGTTTGTTTATCGGGACCAAGGGACCGCAAGTATGGCGAGGTTTAACTTGATCCAAGGATGAACTGTTTATTACCGGAATACAGAGTTGTTAACTAAGTAAGCAATAGTAAAACAATGGGTGTTGGGTCACAACATGTCTTACCCGCAATCGAATTCGCATTTTTGAATACCTTAAGTGCTAAAAACGGCAGCGGAAATGGTAGGCAAGCTCTCATGTAGGGAGAAGGGTGCAGAGTAGGCAAACAGACTTACGCGACGTGAAACGACTGATTTGGAGCGGAAAATGCATAAAAATGCCAGTAACGAGGTCGACAAGCAGATAACAAGAAGCACCATGGAGCAAATTTGCTGAAAGAGAAACGAGAAATAAACGAAATGGATAGTGATTATTCTTAAACAGGGCATTGAAGTAAGTAATTTTGAGTTAAAGGTTTGTCAGCGGCAGTAATTTGAAATGGGTTTTGATACGGCAGAGCATGAAGCACTTTCAAATTCAAAGAGAAGTTTTCGATTCCTTGCATTAAAGTACGCTAACGTGGCATTAATACATGCATATAGTGTATTGGCACCAGGCGAATTCCGCAAAAGATTAATCTTCCTATGGCAAGGGTGGATGAAAACGGTTTTCCACTTCCGACTGATCATTCTGTCCTTATCCGATCATATCAACAAAATTAATTCCCAAATACAATTTACATGCAGGGATAAGTATGTAAAAAGCCTCTTTGTACTTCCTGAGACTTTTCATTTTCTCTAGGGTATAAACTCAAAAGTCCTCACATTTAGTCCCAAAGGGTAATTTGATCTCGTACTAGACTCATTTGGAATTGCATATAAGAAGAATGTGAAAAAAGCCTAGAAAAGACATTTCGGCGATCGGCACCTGCATAACCATTCTTTGCCGTGGCTTGAGCTGACACTTCTGGGAGGTAGCTTCAAAAGTTTTCGATGACACATCCTCATCACTACTTCAGGCAATGGTGGTCGGTGAAATCGTGGGTAAATAGAAATTCCCAGATTGCACATAGTTACAAATAGCGTTAAACAATTCAACAAACATTGGGCAAGTGAAACCCCAGGAAACAGATTCTCTTCAAAGGACACTGTAACATTTCTCAGTTTCCAAAATACTTAGTATTCAAGTTAAATTTGGAAACCTATTTCAATCCGACTTTTTATGATTTTCAGCTCTATGTAGGGACTTCACCACCAATCAGATGATGCTCGGGTTTGCGAGTACAATCCATCATACGGTCTTTTTGGAGGTGTTTTGCAGGGCATTCAAAAATTTCTAAAAACGGCCCAAAAATACACTAGTCAATGCCTCCAAAAAAAGTTCTACCCTTCACAATGTATTAAATCGGGATAGGTTTAAGTTTTACGACAAATCCAACCACTCAAATACCTCAAAACATAAACGAAGTGCGACCAATTAACAAACTGAGAAGATAGGTTCAGATAGATGATTTAAGTCTTGGTAGACTTCAGCTGGAACCAACACGGTGGATAGCCATAAGACCGCGGTGAATATATCTATTGCAAGGTGTGAGTAACGTAGCGGAAGTTTCGATGCCATACCATTTGAAACAAAGCAGTAAATTTACCTAAGAGGCTAAACGTATTCAGATGGTAAACTAATAGCCTCCCCTTGTTGTCATGATAAGCATAAAAGCAATCACTAATCTCGTATAGACACTGCCAAACAACAACGACAAGATAGCAAAACTGTCAGTGGATATTTAGCTACAAAAATAAGGTGGCCAGAAATTTGCCGAGATTTTTTGTCATAAAATCAAATAACGGCAAAAAAACTCCTTAAAATAGTTCATTTATTAAAATTTGTCCTTTCCCGACAAAGCACGAGCTCACAAAGTGTGCTTTCATGAAACGTTTTGCCTCTAAAAGAAAAACTTTACCCACAGCCACTTTTGTTTCTGTCTCACCTATTTCCTTATGGCCCATTCTTTTTCGCCCGTGGTTGTACAATCCCAAGAAAAGGGGATAATAATAATATGAGGGAATAGCATTAGGGTAATGAAGAGAATGAGACATATCTACCAAACCCCATAATCCATTTTGGCGGTGTTTGAAGGTTATTTTCATCTGCTACTGCAAGTGGGCGGAACCCGTTCACTTGGAAGCTCCATTACTTTGCCATTTGTCATAGGCGTAAACGAGGCATTTTGTCATCACTTACACTAAACACTACTGCAATTGCTCGTTTCATTAACCTTAAACCTCTCTGAAACGATAGAGACGCGTAGTTTCTCTGCATTATTAAAAATGGAGGATCTTCTCGAAACTGATGCATCTACCCTTGAGTCGGTGTGTTCTGCTGCACATCACACTCCATCCAAATGCTATGTAAAAGGATAAACAGGTGCTCCTGCAACTTTGGGACCGCGATTTGGACCCCCATCCACTAGGTTCATCGAACCGACATTTGCGGGCATGATAGTTCAAAGTACAAGGAAAGAAGTCGGTTCACGTCTGCGCCGATGGATTGGACCCACATCCGTGCTTTCTAGGGCGTAGGCATAAGCAGTCGCATGTATTTAAAAAACCTCCGCAAGCTACAAGAAGTCATTGTGTGGAGCTTTACTAAAAATTGCAAGGACTTTTAAGCTACCTAATGATTACGGGCTTTGCCCCTGATTATACGTAAAATTAGCATAAATTTAGGAATGCAACTTTTGCTATTACGAGTTATACTGTGTGCTTGATAAGTCTGTACTCCTTGGTAGTAAGGGGAGCCAAACTTGAGAATTAGGATGTTTAGATAAAATATTTACAAACCCAATGATAAACCAAGACTGACTATCTCTATGTTAAGTTTATGGAAGGATAAGTGAAATTCAAAATACCCAATAGGTTTAAAAATAATTTCTTTTTCACATTTGATGAAACTTCTCCTTTGAAGACTAAGTCAGATTTTAGTTGAACCAAGCTTAATAGAGTGTATACAAATACTCTACTAGATTGAAAAAGGTTTCACCTTTTTGACAAAAAATGAATACAAACGACTCAATCAAGAACCCTTGTTGTCGTCGTAGATTTATGTTTAGAAAAAAAAGTTAAGAGAATTCTTCCCTGCTTTCACAATTTCAAAGATGGAATAAAATGCATGTAAATTGAAACTTTGAGCTTTACGTGGGATTTTATCGGAGCAAAGGAAGCGCTAGAGATGCATATCAGGCAACGCGCCCCCCTGAGTCTGGACGCCAAGCATGTCGACATCTAAAACCTGTCGAGAAATTTCGCAGAAGCGTCTCCATCCTGTTACAGCGGTGAGCACAGCGCATTCATTCAGGGGCTTTTGCGATTTCAAAAAGTTAGCTCTAAGCAGGCGCCAAGGAAGATTTAAACCTTTGCACAATACAAAGGAGTCAAACCCTTCACAAAAAAGGCCAGAACTGGGAGAAAACCTGGGCACATCATTTCGCAACAAATCACCCAAAACATACCTCGGGGAACAACATTTCGGCACCAACGACGAAGTGAATTGGGCTAACCTCGGATGATTAAGCCTTATTAGCGGACCCTTTCGTGTCAAACTGTTTTTCAGACAATGATTTGACGCTGGATCAGTATGGAGAGGGCTGTACTACCGATATGTATGTAGTTTCCACTCCCCAAACTCTGTTCCTTTCTTCCCTGAACTCAAGCCTCGGTCTAGCTTGGTAAACTCTGTGATACCAAAGGAACTTTAAAAGGGGCTTTCTTTACCTCAACACTCGTTCACACTATTCACTGTCTGAATGGACAATTGACCCTTTTATAGAGGTGGTTAAGGTAAAGATAAATTACTTAATTTTAGAGTCTATCCAAAAGAGGATTGAAACCGAGCATTCCATGGTTTTTTTGTCCAGTGGAAAAACTTTAAGACTGTCTGAGGCCAACAAAAATGGGGATGGCAATAAGTCGCGGTTGAAATATCATGGACTTGAACATGGTGAATCCGACAAACAGCTGGAAGAAGAAAAACCAACACTCAAAAACCTGAAATCAGAGAAAAGGTGAAACAGATTTCAGACACTAGAACTGGGAAGGGGGGGTAATGAACCCGAGATACCTATTGGCCTTTACTGCCAATGTAGTTCTCATTCTTTTACATTTCCTTGATCATGTCTTATGAGGAAACCCTATTTCCCATTCCTTGAAACAATTGACCCTGTGCAAGTGGCACAAATTCACCCTTCATGAGTGAAGCTAATTGACAAGATGGTCACCTAATGATGAGCAAACACAAAAAGGGGGGTCAGTTCCTGGCACGAAGTTATGCTGAACGCTGAACGAAGACCATCCACCAAAAAAACTGACTTCAGTGAACACTAACATTGAAATATGGTCACTAAGGTACTCTGCTTCTTGTTTATCAAAGCACTTGCAAAGGTGACAAAGTACCCCTTTCGTTGGTGTTTCATGCTACCAATCCATTCCATGACGGAAGTCATTAAATTTTTAGTAAAGGATATGTCATTTGTACATATTTATGAAGTTCATGCGACTACTCTCGTTGGAGTCTAGACATGATCCCAAGTCGAAATGAGTGTTTAACACTGGGACCCAACAAGTCTTGCGCAGATTGATTGACAATAGCTTAATCTGTCATTTCATTGAATTAACGGTTCTTAGATATATCCATGAGTTTGATAAGGCTATCCGCGAGACTTCGTGACACTCAATATCAAGACCCACCATATTTCTACCTCACTTTCCATTTCCTCGCATCAACCAGACTGCAGATGAAACTAAGCAAAAAACGCAATCCCAGCCATAATTACAAAATTGAGGGTAAGGCTTAGCAAAATGAGACTGCACATTACCAAAGCCAAAAGTAGGAGTTATCTTTCAATAATTGAGTTTTATCCTATGATATCCTGCCTTTGTCAAAAAGCATCGGGAATAACTCCTACTGATTTCTTTTCCTTAAAGTGCATAAAAAGAGACCAATAAAACAACGGTTCGTAATACGAGTCTTTCTGAAATAATGTTTCCAAATGAGGAGAATTAAATGGGGAAAGGGTCCATTACTTCCTCATTGGGTTTCAAAAATGAGCTAAATCATAAAACTATTGTTCCATTGTCTATTCTGCTAAGACTTAATCTGTTTCTAAATTTATAAAAAAAAGATTCATGTCCAGGCATAGGTCTGTGATGCTCGATTAGCCACTTTCACCAGTTAATGGTGTGATAAACATACAAGAACACAAACCAAGTCTCTGCTACTGGAGATGGTTGATAAAACAGCCATCCATTGAGAAAGTGTGGAAAAGCAGTAAGTTGTTTATATGTGCAAAAATGCCAAATCCTATTCACCAAACATGGAAGAAGTGAGGGCTGGTAGCAAAATATGGTTACAATTTCGCAACTATGATCAAAATACAAGGTTAGGCATTAGAAGATTTCGCGGTGTTGAGGTGATTTTGCACCAAACTTCTTAGATTAGAATGCAGTCAGTCATCTCCTTCGTCTTGCCGACTCGAAATATTAGCGTTATTAATGTATTCGCCTCCAATACACCACACTTTGTTCATAGACAAAAGTAATATAATCGCCTTAGCTACAAGGATACATTAGTCGTTTCTAGGGAAATCAACTATTAGTTGTCAATAAGACAGAAATTTTGATTCTTCCGCTCGCTCCCTATTGCTTGTCACTCAGTGTAGGAGTAATGATCAAATTCCTCCGGATTGTCAGATTATTTGTAAAGGATACCGCCTTTGTGCCCGTTGACGATTTGAGAAAAAAAAACATTGTGAAGACAACCAAAACGAGAGCCTATTATTGGAAAACGGATTAATATTTTAGGATTTAGACCCATGATTATAACATAAAAGGGACTTCATGACTGAATGGCCTCAGAAGACAGTAACCAGCATTGGCTACAATCCAACTGTCAAAAATTCGTATCGCTTTCCAAATACAGAAAAACTGAGTATTAATTAAAAGCATAACTTGCAACTCCTCTCCCCATGCAATTTTTCCATATTTTAAACATACTTGTGTCGTGCCGTAATGAAAAGCTGGGTTTATGTCACGAGAAGTGAGAGGTTGCGCAGTGAGCGTCAGAATCAGCGTCGAAACTACCGGAATTCTAAAATGGAAAGGATGCTTTAGCCGAGTCAATAAAAGATGTCAAATAGTGACAAATTAAATCATATGTATCAGATGGCCTGGCGTTTACAATTTGGATGAATTAGTACTAGTTCAACTAATTGATCAAATATTTCGTGTTGTCCCATCGTGAAACTGGTTTTATGAGGACAAGCGAAGATACCAGAAAACCTAAGTGGATTTTGGAACCAAAGGAGAAAGCGATATTTCCGCAATTTACCCCTACTACTGGTCCTTTTTAGCAGTTGTAAGCGTTTGATTGTGGCAACATCGTTCACTTTCCAGCTGGCATTATCTATTACAGTTTCATAGTGGTCGAACAAACGGTAAATACAAGCTAGGCAGTGAAGACTCTAACTTCCACTGATTCAATGTATTTACGGACCTAGTAACCAATCGCCTGGACGACAAACCATTTCGTCCTGGCTGTGGAAAACATTTACATAAGCCCAAAAGAGTGGTGTACGCATGGAACGTGTTACCGTTTGAGTTATTGCAAATGTTTAGATTTGTTCTACCACCTTTATTTACTACTTAATAAAATAATTTGTTTAAAATGAGCGGCTCACACAAATCCCAGCGCGTAGAAGACAATCTGGGCTCCTATTGACAGTGGTCGCCTACGTCGAATTTGAAGGAGGAGCGCAATGCAAAGGAAAGCCGTCCAGACGCGTGATCCCGTGCAGGCGAAAAAGAAGACGATGAATTTTATGTACTGACTCCAAGTGGTATCGACTTCCCTATCTGCCAATAAAGATATAAAAACTCGGGTGTAAGTTAAAGCTTGATATCGGCTGCATAAGGTGGTACACATAGCCATGAGTTTCCCAAATCTCCTGGGATTCAATGTGGGCTCCGCTCATATAATTTAAATTACTAGTTTTCCAAACCTTCCGTGTGTCCACAATAAATCTGCCTCCACATTGGTATGCCTTATTATGTCGTCAGCAACAATGCGGACACTGTAGTTGTGGAAACGACTAGCTTCCCGAATTCCACTAACTGAAGACCAGGCCCAAATGTGGAAGAAGGACGTCGCCTGTGATTAACCAAATCTGCAAGGACTTATAACAGAAAGACTATTGAAAATAAGCAAACTTTTGGCAGCTACCCCTGAATGGAACGGGGAGGAATTGGAGTGAATTCGAATTTTAAAGAGCTGAAACATTAAAAGACAGTTATGAGAGTCTTCAAAAAGTTTGCACCTCTCTAGGTTACATGAAACTGTGAATGGCACAGAAGCGGAGACAAACCAGAAGGGAGACAGGAGTAAAAAGCAGAGTTTTGTGAAACTAACCCATCTTGCGTGTTTTAGCAATTTAGTTTGTCGATTAATAAATATCTATATAAAGAGCAAGTGACACAACTTGCAGTTGCTATAGAATGTCATTTAGCCTCGAATACAAAAAAGGACGAATTGTGATCCAGTTTCAAAGAAGAATTTGAGCCCTGCGAGATGCCTCGTCACCAGTGGAATTGAATTCCCCCTAGTCTTGGTTTAAAATCGTTGCATGACGTTATTTCCGACTACCTCGAGACATCAAAAGTAGAAAAAAAATATGAGCATTACTGAGAACCTCATTTAAAAGGAATTCATTTAACAGAAAGATGGTTGTTTTAATTCTACACAACTCCATGAAACGTTCAGATGCCTGTAAACTAACTTGTAAGACAATGATATCTAAGCTAGCAGTATCCCAGCTCTTCCGTAGGTTTATGAAGAACCTGCTTCCAATATGCTATGCCTAACTACTTTTCTGGGGGGGAGGGGGGGGGGGGACACTTCAGAAAGGAATCAGCAACTGAGCAAGAACTCACCCCAGGTTATGGGCTCCCAGAGTGAACCAACCACCAGGCTGCTGCAGAAGACCATGACTGAGACAATGACACAGACAAGAAAGCGGTAGGGCATTCGATTGGCCTTTTTTGTCACCGCAAGTATTGCCAGAGTCCATACCTGTTAAATGTAGATTGCTACTTATTTTTTACGAGTAGCAACCCTATTTAAAGGCAAATAGTAGTTTGCAGTCTTACAAAGTACTCAGTGGCTTCGAGATAGCCCAAACACGAAAACGAAGAAGAAAGAAGAGCACTCAATAATTACCAAACTGCAGCAGTGTTTTTGTTTCCGTCTTCCAGATCAGAAGGAAGAAGGCGCAATAAATAAAAAGGTCATGAAGTTGCATGCGCATCCCCATTTTCCGTCGCTTGTAATAGTTAGCAATAGACCATTCTCAGTAATAAAACCCGACTTTCAAAACTAAAAGGAGGCGGAATGCCGACAATGCAATTAAAAACGCTTATCTTGCCACAGAACCTTCATGGGACGCTAATTGGTTTTGAAACTTTACTTTGCATGAAAAAATGACATTTTAAAGTGTTAAGTGTTGCTAGTTTTCAAGAAACTTCAGTTTGCTGAGCTTGTAAAAAGGAAAGTGAATAATTCAGCAAACCTACTTGTCGTCCAAACCCTCATGAAAAAGACTCAGATACCTAAATATACATTGACAATTCTCAGCAGTGATCAGGTCTCCTAAGAGAAAGGTGGGTCCAAGTAGCCGATTTTGCTTGGGTAGCACAGACACTTATTTGGACATCGTGAGCCATTTGAAACAGAGATGCCGTCCAAAAAGTGACATTTAAATGATATTTGGTGTCAATATACACTACACCCTCGAAACTACAAATGCTATGAGGTGGTGATGCTCTTCGTTCTTACGGAAAGATTGGTCTTGTGAAACTGCACAGTAAAAAGCTGTGTCGAGCAGGCGTTCCACACACTGACTACATACTCATAGTGCTAAATAACCACTGTGATTTGGCAACGAGGCTAATACAGCTGGAATTGCCAGAGACATACACCTGTCTGTCGCACCATTCAAACAGTGAGCTTGTTGAGTGACCAGGCACGTCATCACTACACCGTGAAGTCCTTTTAGCCTTCTGCATGAGTAGACACCAGGAGCTTTGAGTTGTACCACCTCGTTGACAGGAAACTGCATGTATTATCATCACAAGCTGAAGTTTGCATACCCGCTGTGTGGACAATAGATATCTGGACAAAGTTAAGCTGGCCTGGTCCACGGAAACTGTGCATCAGTTGTGTGTAGTAGTACACGATTTCTACTTCTCCGTGCTTTTTCTGCCACGTTTTGATTGAAACGTTCTCAATGCACTGATATTCACCCGGCATTTTTCAATTTAAAAAGTTAATTTGTCTATTAGTTTGGGGATTAGATGCTGAGAGCTCGGGTTGATGAGCCAATTCAAGTGTCCAAGAAATTCAAAAAAAAACCTGAAACTTGCATTAAACTTCTACAAGACACCAACCATCGTTAATGTCTTGCTTTCAGAAATTATCTCAACAATTCTCTATAATTTCTCGCATTATTCTTCCTTGCTCGTGTCAGTACGGGATTGTCGGGTTTCTTTGTCAGTGCAGAGACGACGTTTAAGGAGAGGAACTTATAACAAGAAAGCATGCCAAGTAATAAAATCACGACAGAACAGAATATCACCGACGCAAACACGACCACTTCCCATATCTTCAACTTTCCCATCAAATCAAGAAATAAAAGTGCTAGTTCAACGGAAAAAAGTTTCCTTTCAGTCATGGATACAAAGAATGTTAAAAACTCACACAACACAGGAGACTGGCCCAAGACAGGTAGACTGCAGCTTGTTCCAACGTCCCATCGTAGTACCGCAGATCCACATGCACCAGGGTAGCCATTCCAGCAAAGATGAACATGATGGGGGCGTAGAGAAACGTTCCTATCACAAGCCCAGCGCCAATCTTTGGACAAAAGAAAGACAGAAAATAAAATATTGAGCTGGATCTCTTATGTTCATGGTTATTCTCGACAGATGGGAGGAAACAGAACATGCTGCGAGGTTCAAAATTTGCGCATAGACAGTGGCAAAAAATGAGCATCAAACGCTCAAACAATTGTAATTGATAGTGGTAAGTATTCAATGGTTAATTTCTGTTAAGCAGATTAGGTTTTCCAGTAATCATGGGAGGTGTGAAGGACTCTCAAATGGGATGCGGACATCTAATTTTAAACAGGTAAGAGTGCCACCGTGGCAGAACTACACGTAGAAGTGGAAATTGTGCACTACTCCACAATGACAGCTGACGAGCATATTGTCCATGGACTAGACCAGCCCAATTCTGTCCAGGTATCTTTAGTCCAGACGGCGAGTAACGCTGGTAGTGGGGGAGTATGAGCTGAAGTGTCAGATGATAATGCACGAAGTTCCCTATCAATGAAGGCGTAAAACTCAAGTCTCCTGGTGTCTACTCACGCAGAAGGCTAAAAACACTTCACGGTGCAGTGATCGCATGCCCAGTCGATCAGCAGTGACATTGTTTGAATGGTGCAAGCGGTTCACTAGCAGACGGTCGTATACCTGTGATGACTCCAGCTATAATGGCCTCGTCACCAAGTCACAGTCGTCAGCGTGTGGAATGCCTGGTGGACGCATAGCTTGTTATCGTGCAGTTGCACAAGAAGGCCGATCTTTCTGTGAGAACGAAAAAACACCATCACCTAAGAGCATGTGCAATTTCGAGGAGAGGTCAATCAACGAGATTCTATTCGTCGAGTTCACATGTCAATTAGAGAAGACATATATTCATTTTTGAAAATTATTTAAACTTTAACACCATTTAATTTGCATTATTGCCTTTTGGGGAAGTTTAAGTGAATAAAATTATTCGAGCCCCTTGGAATATATGAGGAAATATCCTGTTCGATTGTGAATCAAAGGTTACCAAGTGTAGCGCCCCAAGACTTCCCTGAAGGCGAAAGAGGACATAATACTGGGACAAATTATGTGTTGTCGACGCACAGAAGGGCTTGAGGACTATTGACATAACCCAAAGACCAGGCGCAGCCTGGCAGAGGTACAATGGCAGAGCCCCTAAGTGGCTCGTTACCAACAAAAAACAAGCTTGAGACAGGCTCCAATTTTCCCGTTTTATCTCTCCGCTCCCATCTCCCTTTTATGCTCAAACCGATCAGCAAATTTCTTATGTCGATGCCTAATGCCAAGAAATCACCATTCGAAGAAATGGCATCGAGGGAAAGTGAAGATAGAATGAGACCGAATGCCCTACCAGGTGACGCATATAGCTCTGAGTGATCCATCACCAAAACCACATATCTAAAACCACTTCTAGGAGGTATATCGGTCTGCTACCTCACCTTCCGCAAACACTATCCAACAAATTTGATGAGAAGATCTTGGAGCTCCATAACCGAATTAAACTCGTTTCCCAAAGTCTTCAAGATCGAATTACATCAAATGAGTTCAAGAAAGCGGTGAAAAGGAAGATAAAAGATGCCGTAACGATGTTGAACTGGAATATATCTGTGGTTAAGGATGCAAATATAAGTAACCACCTTAAAATAACACATCCCAACAAGTTATAAATCAGTACACCTGTCTTTAATGAAAATCATCAACTTTTGCCTTGGGTTTTCAACAACGGATGAGAGATCATGATCATGAGAAATTCAAAAATATCTACGACGATCCAGCTGAAGGCTCCATTCTTTACCAAAGTATTTAAAGTGGCGTGAGAGTAAGGTGTTTGTGAATTCTCCTGAACCTCAACAGAAGTGTATGTGGTTACTTTTACTTCGCCATTTACCGCAAACAAGATGGCAGGGATAAAGTGATAACGATTCCCTTCCGTGAGGTAAAGACAGTACACTACGTGGGTTTTGTCTTTCATAGAATCTAACAAGCACTGAAAAGATTATATTACAAACCAAGGGAAATGAATATGTATGCAAATCCATCATAAATATAGTCTATTTTAACAAAGAATACGTTCCACACATGGAACAAATCAAAACCCAAAAGCTCCCAACAGCTCGTTGGAGTGAATTGGGGGCTGTTGCAAAGGTCACATTCGCAACAGTTGGGGGGTGAGGATAGTGCTTATTAAAACACCAATGCACAAGAAAAGACATGTTTTCATAAAAAATAGTCACTTTATAAATATGGCCGTATGATTACGTTACAAACTGTCGCCAATGGTTATAGCCGGGAGTTTCTATTGGTCGCGAGTGGCCGGAACACTCCGGAGGCTACTGCCACAGATAAAGACTTCAAAGCATATTAACGTGAGTGTGCGAGCATAGTGGTATAAAGTGGGCATACGAGCCTGGCTGCTGGTTGGTGGAGACGGCCAAACAATGAGCCTGGGTCTGCTTCACTCGACCAGCTTAGTTAAACGTGGTTACAGCTATGGGTCGACCTTGACCTTGAAAAGAATGTCAATCCATTTAAAGCGCGCCCAAACCCGATGTCCGCCATTTGGGAGGGGATAAACTAGAGAAGACTCCTAAATTGTTTGCAGACTAATCACGAGAATGGGAGCTTCTAAAAATGCAAACAGGAACGTTTTCTAGGGTTGCGGGGGTCCCTGGCAGATTCTGACGTACAACCCGCCCATAAACGGTATTTTTGTAGTTCGTTCCTCTCAAAAAATGAGACCGATTATAAAAGACCAAAACGGCCTCTCTAAATTTATTGTAGCAAATATGCAAAAAGTTGACGAAGTCTTCTCAAAAACCGGTGATTAAGAGACCCCACTTTAATCAATTAATCAGAACCTTATCAACATTCAATTCGAACAGTTAATTTTGCAGTCACCCTATGTAAATTCATGAGAGCCCAAACGCAAATCTTTTTCCAACCTTCTCGTATCCTACAAAGAAACTCCTCGATTCACAAAAGATGTATTTCAATTCAATGAAATCCAAAAAAGTGAGCTGTTGCAGTGACCTCAAGAGTTTCCAAACCAAAACCCACCCTGTAAACATTTTTTGCCCAATTATTTCATCCCATTCCACCTAAGAAAGCCGTTCACACTCTCCACGGTCGTCCGCAGGAATTGGCACCTGTACCCAATAGCTCATGTTTGTAAAATTTTTCGTTTTGGTTACGCTAGCACTGAGGGCACAGCCACGGCACTTCCGCATAGCGGTATAGCCTCCAGGGCATGCCAGTAGCCCCTCAGCACGTCTGTGAGTAGAGAATACATATTCTGCCCTGGCATTATGCCATCTTTTGTCTTCATCGAAGCCTCAACGCACTACATTGGTAGCAGCAAAAATCAAGCCCGATCCCAAAAAGCAACCACTTGATTCCTATTATTGAAGGGTAAACCTCAAAATGATGGAGGGGCAAATGCTATGGATGGGAGCATCTGTTACAACCCCTAGCAGAAAGGTTGAACATGGCGTCTACCCTCGGCAACTGCCCCAGTCCCATGTCCTGAGGAAAAGCTATTAACAACCGAAGTGACACTAGTCGTGAAGCATCTGGAAAAGTTCGTTACGGAGCTATCTACGGTGCCTGTATGAAGATGTCAATTAGGTGAATGCGCGATACCTCATTCACTTTCCCGCTAGATGAATAGAACCCAGATAAATGTAGCTGGGATGCATTGAAGTGAAAACAAAGTGGCATGAAGGAACAGACTCGAAACAGTACCTCCATGAAACTATCGTAAACGCCGGTCTTTGCCAAATGGCCCTGCTTTTGGATCAGTGTTCTTATGACCAACGATGGGCGCATGGAATAGGTAGCATACATTTTCCAAACGGTACCAAACATCAGATCCATTGGAATTGCCGAGAAGGATTAGTGACATGGCGATCAAATATCTTCTCAGCTGCGAGCAAATTCGATGACTGGTATGGTTGGTTTTTAGGTGTTCTTCATCCAGCACCAACAGCGTTGTAATGGCCGATGCGGGAGGTTAGCCAAGAGGAACGCCAAGAATGACGCTTTAATCTTTCGTTTTGGTTACGTGGGTATTGGTGGGTACGGCCGTTATACTTCCGCCCGACGTCATGGCCTCAAAGCCGTTTCAGTAGCCCCTAAGTTCACCTTCACTTCGATAATGCATATTCTGCCATTGCGTTATACCTTCCTCAGTCCTCAGGGAAGTCTCGACGCGCAACTCCATTTCATACTTGTCTTTTGCATACCGGTCAACAGTTCATTCAGGCAAATAAAAGCATTAAAGCGCCCTGGTTTGTGGGAAGACGTTATTCCATGAAGTTTTAGAACAGCTTATTCGTCTGAAAGCCAGAACGGCCAATATAAATTTAGATCGTATCTCCTCATTACACTGTTTCTTATTTTATGAATCCTCGGGCTCAGCACGTTCCCAGTCCAACCAACCCCCACTTTTCCACTGTCTTAAAAACAAGCACATTTCGTGGCTGTAAATGGGGCATTCAGGATTCATATAACTCTTTTGTGAAAGAGAAAAAAGTGAAACAGTTCGAAATTTGAAGTGATATTGACCTTCTTTGGTCTTGCTGATATCAGCAACATCAAAAATTCCTATTTAAGCTTTTCGGGAATCTCACCTGAACCATTCGCGTCGTGAAAGACCAGATTTTATTTCATTACCTACATTAATGATATCACTCTGAGCGTACTACTTCCACTAATTGCCACAACTTAAAAGAAGTTTCTCAAAATCCCTTTACTCGTTGCTATCACATTGGCGGCATGGCGAGCCAATTAAGATGTCAAAGTGCAATGTGCCTATCATGTGTGCTAGATAATCTGTTTTGAAATTTACATTCAAATTGCGAGCCAAACTAAAACAATCGTGATCTTTTTAATGTCTTTCTGACGAGTTGGGGCGGTAATACGCAGATTATGCATGAATAAAACGGGGACCGAACGAAATGCTCTGCAGCAGATGAAATTGGTGAATTGAATTTTGCACAGCTGAAGCACCTAATGTGATGCATGGGTTTAAATTCCCAATAAATTTTTATACAGATGTAATACATTAGATCTGGTTGAAAAAAATACAAGCGCAACATTATTTCATTTATTCTAAAATGAAAGTTATAAGGTACCACCTTCAACTGCTATTGGTTTAAGAACTGTTCAGCTACACCATGTAAGCCCATTCGTTGGCTGAATCTCCACCACCTTATCAGAGTATTCTATTACAAACTGGTAATTGTGAAACTTGCAGTGTTCAGAAAATTAGACAAATGTTTCCCCCCTCAAAAGACAACTTTTGCTGAGTACTTCTAAAACTTTTACTAAAAACCCTTTTTTACATATTTGCTATCAAACGAAAGAAGTCCATTCTAGGCTATATTATGTGGCAGAGCAAGACCAGGTAATTGAAATGCAGTCTCCGTAGCATAACACATCTTCAGTAGTGTATAAGTCTTCATAATAAACTGAAGTGTAAATCTGACGCACATATGATTAATTTTGCTTTGAATGAGGATTAAACAAAAGTTCTCCTCTGTCTACTTTGGGAAAATCCTTCCCTAAAATCCTCCTGAAAGGTTAGCTACTTAATGGAGAGGTATTTGGAGTTACAGTAGAAAATCAACGTTTACCCAAAAGAAGAACTCACTAAATACCGTTTGTGAACAATATGATTTACCAAGTTCCAAATATTTATCAGCAGTTAGACTAAAATTTCTACTTATTCATGTTTTCGTCAATCAATTCATGGCTTTGAAGTAGTGCCGACACATTCAATTAACATCAGACTTTTCATGCTCAGTAGTCAAACAAACAAACTAAACTGAGAGTTCACATCTTATTCATCAAACAATAGCCTTTACCTTTTGAAATATGCTACCGACTCAAAAAATACAACTAAACAATGGAGAATGGAAATAAATAAAACCAGGTTATCTGAATACAAAGCTTAAGAAATGGATTTCAATATTCATTCATAGTTAGTACGTCACCCCACTAGGACCTCAGGGAAAATCGACCATCACAAGCTAGATACTTGTTCTAATGATGCCGACCACCACGAGTTTGTGTTGGCCACTTTAACTAATAACCCGAAACTAAAAAGCGCAAATATTCTTTAAGAAGATCAAATAGTAACCCGGTACAACCATCTGCCATAAACTGATAAAGAACGCCATAAAACTATGACACCAGGCCCAGATAAGAAAATCCAGACGTCATGTATGTACATATCGTGTTGTTGCTTTGGTTGAAGATTTGACTAACCAAAAAGGATCCATGAGGTCTGAGACAATGCTAGATTTGGGAGATATTGGTTGTCAATGTATCAAAAATACTCACCACTTCAGGCAGAATGCCGGAATTCGAGGCGAAGAGAAAGACAGGTGGTGCAGTGGGGGCAGCAGCATAAAGGAAGGCGAAACTGGACTTAGGCACAGAAGATTCCTTGGGCTGGTGGGACAGCAGAAGGACCATCATCTCACGAGTTATGAAGGGCGAAATAATACTAAACACGAAAAGGTAAATGAGAATGGGTATGAAATTCTACAAAAGGGATAGGATAGCAATGACAATATGTGCCATTTGGAGCAAATCATGAGGCAATGTGAGAGGGTTTAAAACAAATAATAAATATGGGGAGGGAGAAAGTAACGATTGAAACGCACACATTTTCATGGAATAGGATGGGAGGTAACTGGCAAGTTGGATGGTGAAGGCGTATTTTTGCAGCATTGTTGTAATGGGATTCACCGATTTCAAGCAAGAGTTCTCAATGCAAACAAAAAATTAATTTAGTCCTAACGTACTTCAGCCTGTTTCCATCTACTCGATGGAGTTTTTGTAGACTATTCCCATTTGGCAAATTAATTCCACGCATTTTGCAACAATATTTTGACAAAAAAATATGCATAGTTAATTCAGAACTAATTTTTGCGTCACTAAATAACCGCATTCCCCTTAGTCCCTCCCAATTTCTGCATCGACCACATTACACAAACGGTTTACTGAGAATGCTTAAAATCTCCGGAGACGTTCCGTTCTAGAGTCCTGCTTTTCCTACTATCCACGTTGCCCTTGTTTGCACCCTTGGTCATTTGGGAGGGGATAAAAAGGTGAGACAGGACTTTCCGAGTACTCTAGTAAGGGCTTCTGAAGTGCCTAAGGTACTGAGTCTTCTGGTCGGAAACCCAATTAGTTAGTGGGGAACATCGACTTTCTGTGCCTTTGCTCGCACGCAAGTAGTTCATAAATTGCGGATTTACTAAAGCATCACTGCAATTCTTTTACGTTTTTTACATTTAAATAAAAATTGTTAGTCATAAAAATTCGTCATCGTCCGAAAGAACTTTCTAATAACTTTAAGGGGTTTTAAGTTTTGCCTAAAAGTAAATCGAAAGGTTACGAAACAAGTGTTTTAGTGACATAAAAATTGTAAGAAGGGATACCAATTAAGCTGGGATGCGTTCATCAAGTCTTCATAAACATTAATGTGTCTGAGCCAATCGGATTCATTACACACCATCCAATAAAGACAATTTGGGAGACCGCATAAATCAGTTAAATGAATGAGCACTGCTACCTAGCAACATGGGTACACCCGCTCAGGGTAAGACAGCGCACAAGCACAATCACGCATGAATTACAAAGGGATCTGATCAGGTGAAATAAAGAACTGGATCTATGTTTAGTGGAATTGTTAAAGAAAACCGAGAAGATGGGCGGATACATTTAGAGACTTACTAAATAACTCCGAAATCGGTCAAACACTCATAAAGTATTTGCTAAAAGACACGATGTGTTAGAAAACGCTGAATTATTTCCTTGGCAAAAAAACAATTTTTAACTCAGTTAAACTTACACTTTCCCAACAAGGATGGAAATGAGGATGTAGATTCCGCGCCGATCGATGCGCTTAATTCTTCTGACCATACTGAAACCGAGGTAGAAGAGAGCGGTCGCACTAAAGGATGCCCCTGTAATTAACATCAACATAAATAAGAGGGAAAATGAGACAAACTACAATAAATTCAAATAGAATTTTCCAAAAAGGGACGTACCCAAATCCTTGAAAAAACCCTCCGCCATGTCGGGTAGTTTGTGTTTGAAAATGAAGTTAAAAATCACGCCGATGAGAGTCATGAAAAGGAGGGGATTCAACGCCACTTGCCGCACCACCTGAATGTGAAATGGAAACGCAACTAGTATTAATAGTAGATTCGTAGAGGAGGATTGATTCTACTGTAGTTAGTCATAGCCTAAAACCTTCATAAGTTCTGAACTTTTCGTGATATTCCAAATTCAGCAGATCATGTAGCTGTTGGCTTGAATCCCCTGTGAGATTCGCCTAAATAAAACCATGCACCAAAGAAGCTAGTCAAAGTCCCAAATAAATGCCGTCAAAAATGGAGTCATCTTCATTCCGATGTTATGCGATTGCACTAAACTCTAACACCACAAAATTCGCATGGATGAAAGATCCGATAACTCAAATGACGACGCTATCCCCATCGGATGATGGACAATGGCGCAACAAAACGATTTCCATTCAAACTGTCCATATGGCAATGCAAACTCCTTTAGGCTTCCAAGATATCCTCCTGCTACAAATATCTATAACCCCGGAAAAGGGTCCCGTTTAGATCAGCTAAAAGTCGCTATTTTGAACACCTTAAAACTCGCGCTCACGTTCGATTCCCCTTATTTGCCAATATCACGAATGGATAGATGTTAAATGCAAAAAAACAGCAAGGCCAAGGGCAATTAAAATGCCATGCCACCAGTCACGTGATCACATGACAGCACGTAGTCTGCTCACGCTGGTCGGCAATATAGACATGCTTCTGAGACAACTGAAGAAATAGTGGTGGCAACAATGGCGATTTTATTGTAAAAGAACACGAATTCCCACGTCATTGACTGGACGCTACGTAAAAACACCATGGAAAGGAGACATCTACTGTGAATGGCGTAGGAAATGCCAGTCTTGGGTCCTGTACGAGGATCAGTAGTTGAGCAAGATTCGGCTTGAATGAATCATGATCCTAAAGAACTGCTTCTAAAGATGACCAGATATCTTTCAGTGTTACAAAAAAGATGCGAAAAAACGAATAAATATTTAGGGAAGATGCTTTATGTGAACCCTTTCATAAAATGATTTTGCTTTTGGACGCAAATTTCTAAGTCAAGACATTAGCATATGAAATAGGCACGCTGTGGAAATTCGTCTAGCCTTCGATGATACCTGGGAAATAAATTTCTAAAAGCATTTGGCACTTGGAACTAGCGATAGAATTGAAAGTATTCCCGAAGTGGTTAAAAAAACGCACCATTTTCGCCTCTCAGGTAGTTTAAATACACCCGACTATATGGATAATCGAAGCAGAAGAGGGGCTCTAGGGAGTGCCAAGGACTAGCCTCAAAAGGAGAGGTGAGAAGAGTGTAGCAAATGTTTTTCAATTTGCAGATCAAACTTTACTGATAACTTGATCGATACAAAGTGAAGCATGTAACCTATTTTTAAAGTATCTGCAACTTACATTCAGTATTCGTTTGCAAGCTAACGTGAATGTCGACTGAGATGAAGCTGGAAAATGCGAAGCTATGACAGAATCCACAACGGCCCTTTCTTTGGCCTTATGCCACTCTAGAGCGAAGTATCCCAAGGGATTGAGAATGACCAACTGAGCCGGGGCAAAGAGGTAGATGTACGCAGCCAGGTCAGGATAGAGAAGACGAACTGCACGAAATTGAATCACGTTATTTGTTCAGTAGTAGAGTTGAACTTACGCACTGGGTAAGCGAGGGCAACGTCGTTGGATTGGGAGGTAAAAATGGCCAGCAGACCAGCCAGACCGATGGATTTTCCGCGTGAAACAACAAGCACAATAATCATGGTGAGTAAGAAGATGATTACTTTGCCCAAAGACACGGCCATGACGAAGTACCAATCGACACCGGAGAAGTCCATTGACACCATGACCTGAGAACAAAGGCGATAAGTGATTTGAAACAGAAAATATTCACATGAATTGTGTCGGTCCGTCCCCCTATTATACAGTAATAACAAAACATTGGAGCATGAAACAAAATTTGAGGGGTTAATAGGCCAGATGCTTTCTTTTTTCGGACTGATTTCACGCCAACAGTAGTTTAGCGTTCCTTTCCTTGAGTAAAAATCTTGATTGGCCAAATATTCAAACAGGATTTTATAAAATTTCACATAGAGCACCTTGTCTTACATACTGTGTACAAATTTAAACCTATGAAAAGTTCAATTGGCCGCGCAAAGTTTATGATACGACAATTCCCATTCCCCTGACTGAATAGTGGACCTTAACGCCACGCAAGGAAGGTGTGTTCCGTTGAAGACAAATGGCAACTGAAGCGGTACTAGACTTACACGATTTTAAAAATGCCCATTGTGGATCTGCCTATAGTACCTATATAAACGTTCGTGAATTACGTGGAAAAATGAAGTCCCCACTCCGCTTGGCAGAATCAAGGGTAGTGAATGAAATAGCCAATAAAGTGAATTTAAGTTGAGCATTTCATTTAATGATTGATTTTACCCAACCTTTACCACGAATAAAGACAGGCATTTGATATAAACTCACTGTAAAATACTACTTAGCATTGGGTATTATCAGGCCAGTGAATCCCTCACCGCAACAAAGTGTACGAAGAAGACTAAATATCGAGCACAATAGAAGCAACAGGACAAAATGGTCTTCCGATTCCGTGAAAAATTAAAAACAATCGATCTTGGCCCATGGACGGTTTTTACAACCCCGACTAGGTAGACGTGCTAACCAGAGGAGAGACTAGGATTATCAATAGGAAGGATGGTCTGGAAGAAAATGCTATAAAAGTGTACACTACCTGTTTTTATGTACCTAATCAAACGAGCTCATCGGTCTTTATTGATAGTGTTTCCGGCTTGTCAATATGACATTTCGGTCATGACTTCAACCCTCTAACCTGCTGTACGCCAATAATTAATCTTCTTTCCCAATCGTAAGAATTCAGAAGTACTTGAAAAAACGCGAAAAGACAATGGCCAAAAAAAAGGAGAAATACACTCTAAAAATTTGCAAACTAACTAGTTATAAGAGCACGATATTCAAAAACAAGTAAACAAAGTACAGGAACGAGATATCGGAATTGCACACCAAAAAAGAATGCAGTCAGCAAAATGAAACAAAGGAAACGTACGGTGAAGAAGACCGCCGGCAGGGCGAATGACGTAACGTAAATGCCAAGACCTTTTGCCTGTGTATTTGTGAGTAGCTTAAGCTCGCCTGCTAGAAAGCCGAGAAGAATCAGGCCAAAACATTGGATCAGAACGGGAACCAGCGCCCTAAAAATGGCACTGTCGAACGCTGGTAATGGGACTGATAAGCTCATTATTGTCACGATAACCAATGAACATCAAAACCAGCACAAACAATAAGATGAGAGCTCGGGTCTATGCCATTTACCAGTCACAATGCGGCTGTTTTTACCATCATCATGTTAATTGTAGACTGAGCCTGTTGTACAATGTGGTTTACAGCATATATGCACTTGGTCATTGTATTTTTAAGAAAAGTCAAAATACTAATATGCACAAATTATTTAGGTTTAGGATGCAATATTAGGCACGTGCTATTAGCAGGACTGGCTCCAATAAATAATTAATTTTTACGTAAGTTAATCTTTTAAAAGAGTCATAAGTGCAAAACGCTCTTTCATGCAAAAATTGCAATGCTTTATATCATTTAAACTTCTTTGGGAACATATTTTTATCATTTTTCTTAATTATGCGGCACCATCTCAGTAGCCTTGGTTTTAAAACATATTATAGCCTAATTTAAGAACAAGTAATAATTATAAAGACCTATATTTGTTTAAATCGTCTTGATTTCTACCGGTCTGCTGGAAAGTCTGGTCTGGAAGTCGCTGTAGCAATGTCCGACCTAAAAGCAGATGTTCTGGATGACTACAATCCCTTCGGCGATCCTTTAGCCTCGAGTTAGTAATATTTTTTAATGGTTTACGCTCTAGTTGTTTGTATATTTTTTTGCAATACCACGTCCCCTGGCTATTATCCTGTTCGATGTTTTGTTTTTTATCGATTTCGTTGCACAAAATTGCATTTTTCTATACGGTCCTTTGTTAGTTTGGTCTTTTTTAAAGAAAACTTTGAGGGCAGTTTTTTGGGAAGATCCCCGTCGCTTCAATACTGATAGACAAGTCTGTGAACTGGTCAGGTTTTACTCAATTTTCGCATTTTTTGACGGGTTTTAGAAGCAAGAGTATAAGTCGTTTCTTTTTTAACAGCAAATGTTTCCTCAGTATATCAACCGGCAGTGCTTCCGCCCTCAGACAGCGGCCCACCGCCTGCCTATCCTAATGATACTGGTCTTAAGGATGGGACGATGCAAGACTCAGAAAGCACCCTTCTACCCTCCACACTGCCAGCATTGACAGTTGCTGACCTACAGCGCAGACAGGCTGAGCTCGATCAACGCGCTGCTCAGTTGGATCTTCGCGAGAAGCAGGCTCAGCAACAGGAGGCCTGGCGTATGGAGCACGGCTACGCAACCGCCGATAGTGGGTCTTTCTAGATTGCAAAAATTGTAGTCAAGTGATGTTTAATCATAGAGGGTTTTCATACTGTTTGCTCCAGTTCCTAACTGGCCTCCACTACCTCGATGGTGCTGCTTCAAGCCGTGCATCCGAGTCGACTTCAATTCGGATATTCCCTCTCACACTCGTTGGATGGCTGTGTACGGGCACTACTTCTGGCTGGCTTACTCCTGCCTCCTTTTACTCAACGTCTTCGGCACTCTAAGCTATCTTGTTGTCTCTAAAACACTCGAGGAATCCGGCGCTCTCTTCGGTGTATCCATTGTAGTCTTCTTACTTCTTACGCCCGCAAGCTGCTTCTGCTGGAATCGACCACTTTACAAGGCTCTCAGGTGCATCCACTTGGGTATCATGCTTGACTCGTCCATGGTAGCAACAGTAGCCTTACGTTTCTGTGTTTATAGGAAGAACAGTTCAATGCAATTCTGCCTCTTCTTTCCCTTCTTCGGAGCACAGATTCTGATCATCTTCATTCAACTGCTGGGGATTGACTATCTGGGTGCTTGGTAAGGGCATTATGGAACTTTCAAGGTTGGCATTTACCAGGTACAGCGGTGTAACCAATAAATTGTGAGGTTGTCGTGGGTACAAATGGTACACTCTAGTCCACTTGTTCTTACACGTGTTTATCAATAACAATTTCCCAAATTTACCACTGCGAATTCCTCTATCTTTCTCACTTTCTCAAATTTGAATTTCAGGACTACCGTGGTATTTGCTCCAGCGCGTATCATGCATTTGGTTCATAAATAGTTTGAATAACTCAGTTTTTAATCAGGACCATTTATCTGCTTTCCCATTAGTTTATTATTTAGCCGAGCATCTGCGTTGACAGTCTCGATGACAGCTTCAGGTGCCCATTTACACTGTACCATCCCAAATTCGCCACCATGCTGTTTAGCACATTCCCTGCCAGAGCCTCAGTAGAAGGTTGATGACCGCGTTTAAAATGTTTTATTGTTGCATCCGTAGTTGTGCTGTTCAGAAAATAGAAAAAGTGATCCTCAGACCAAGATCCTCATACACTTACCGACTCCACTCTTCCAGAGTATGAAAAATTGTGATGTAGTTTGATTGATTATCATTAAACTGCTAAAGAGCATGTGTTAAACTAGCGATGCCGAGCTCAAGTGAGGAAATTGGTGAAGCACATACGAATAACGACCGCCTTACTCAATGAATGACTTTTTTTGAAATGCATGATTTTTAGCCGTCTTACAGCAGTAATGGATGCATCTGGACGTAGTTTCCAGGTTGAACGCTGTCAAACCATGGTTTGAAGTGTGTTTCACTTTTTACAGTGGTTGGATAAACTCTCTGAAGGTCTTTGCATCGACACCTGCTGTGGGAGCTTTTATGCTCGTATTGGCAGCTCTCTTTACCATCGCTGGCGCGGCCGCTGTCTACCTTATCTCCCGGGTGAGTTGTCTAATTAGAAAGCCTTTCTTAAATTTTCCGACTGTTTGAAAATGTCGACTCGCGTTGTGCGCAGGTGAAGGCTTGTCTCTCGCTTATAGGGCATTGCGAAATCCCCACGTATCCGAGTCTTGCTCTACAACCTTCGATAAGTAGATTTTAAGAAAAGGAAGTCTTATTGTTCACAAAGAACCTACTAATGTGAGGCTTCTGTGGCTCTTAAGACTTCCTTGTACTTTTTTCACTGGAAGTAATATCCACAATCTCTGCAAACTTCTCCTTGTGCGTTTAAGGGTAGTTAATGCATTTTTTATGGACGAAGGAGCTGACTTTTGTGGATTTCTGCATCTTAGCAAAGTCTACCTAGTCGTGTGTTAAGAATCCTTTTATTTGGATTTTTCCGTACAAAATCTATTATAGTAACCCAAATTGCAGCATTTTTAAAGCGTACTATTTTTTGAAATTCTATGTATTATTGTGTCTCCGTGATAAATGCTTTACTGAAATTACGCAATCGAAACGCAAAGTCTGATTATTATCCAAAGATAATTCTAAGGCCATATTATTCCATGCCCACAGTCCCGGTTCAAGGTTGTCATAAACGCGATGAATTTGCGAGAACCACGTGCGCTAGTGTTTGCGTAAAATTGTAATTCACACTAGAAATGAGTCATTGCTTATTTTTAACTCATACCAATGGTGGGAAATTTTGGTGCGAATATCTTTTCATCCAGACTGCAAATTCGAGTACATCGCACAAAACATAGTAAGACTTACCTGCACTCCAAATCCGAATTGCACATCAGTTGGGTGTTTCGGTGTTGGTTACCTGGCGAGTGGATTGTCTTTCGTCATGTGGTGTTGAAGGTGGGTGGATAAGGTGTCTATGTTGTGCATTTTTTAGCCTAAGCCGTAAAACGAAAACAACTTCGGAAATAATCCTCTTCCTTGTGCGTTGAAATGATTGGAAAAGTGCCTAACACTAATTCCGTTTTTTACCAAATCTCTTATAAATGTTTTAAGGGATGTTTTGGTTCCATCCATAGAGTGATTGTTATTATCACCTTCATTGCTGAATACTTGGCGAGGTCCGACCAATGGAGAGGCGTCGAGATGCGAGACCCAATGGCTTGATGGGGCATTGCTTATATATGGGAATCCTTGCCATGAGGACTGATCTTCATGACGCTACCAGCTATGCTCAGTCGTTGTTCAGGAACCGATCAGATCTTACTAGTTCACCATATCTGATCATCCACTAGCCTCAAGCATCCCTTTTGTCTTGGACGAGGGCGGTCACGCCGCGGCTATCTCCACAATCGGCTCCCATACACTATTCCAATTCATGCTTACTCATGTGTTTTGTCTAAACATTTGGATGAAGGATAGGGGCTTTTAAAAGAACAGCTCTGCTTACTCTCCAACGTATTTGTGTAGGTGTTTAGCAGTGCAATTTATTTTCAAGTTTTTTGAGGTAACAAACAGTTTACCCGAAAATATGGGAATTTCCAGGCAGCTTTCCCAGCTTGAAAGAAGTATCGTTAGCATCCCAACGAGTCCAGCTGCTGTCCAAAAGACTCTGTTGGCCTTGACTACAGGTACACATTTACTTTTTTATTATTTTTCTCCGAATTTGTAACTTGTTGGATGCTTGCAGACTGCTTTTGGGGTTCCTTTTTTTGCTGTTGCGTTTGATTTCCCGGAGGTGCTATTATTTGGAACACCTTGTTTAAATTCCCTACAATATTCCTGGTGGCATTTGTCTAAGCGGGCATTCGAACTTGATTTCAAGGGCTCTTAGTCTAGTTGTTCAAATTAACGGTAGGGAGATTTTTCATTCCAGGAGGTTCAGCTGGTACCTTTATTGGTCATTTGTGATTTACAGTTAATTGAGAATAACTATTTCTCAATGAGCTTCTCTGGATTGGCTTAGCCAATTCTTGCGTAACTGGCTCTAGTCTAGTTTCTCGAGTTTGTGGGTTTGCCTAGTATCATCAGTACCTGATTTCGAGGCTTTTTCCTACTCTCTCTCGCAGCTTACCTCATAAAGACCAGTTGGTTTTCATCTCAACCCACCCCCTACCTGTTGACCCAAATCATGACTGCAGGCGCGCACTTTCTCAAGGTTATTTCTAACTCCAAATTTGGGGTTTTCGAGAACTTGGCAATCGTTTTTGGAATTCCCCTTGTTGTTGATCTAATTCTTCTAATTAATGCGGTGGAGGACTCTGAATCGGGAGTATTTTCTTTGAAGATCGTCAAAAGGAAGTGTCATGAAAGTGATTTTGTTATGCTAGCATTGATTGTTTTGAAAAAGGCTTCTTAGCCGTGAACGTAAATAGGTTTAGTACAGTTAGTGTTTTTTTGGCATTCTGCGATGTTGACTCAATCACCCACATCAAAATGTGCCTGCTCTCTCCCAGCTGCTTGCTCTTTTTCTTGGCAAAGTTGAAATACTTTATTCTTTCATCAAAGGAGTGATAAATCACTTTGTTTTTGTTGGTTACTGGCTTAAACACCTGGATGTAGAAGGATTCCGTTTCCCCTACCAATGAACTGCGAAGTTATCTCCCGTTCATACTGATCTTTGGTTAGTAACCTGGTTATTCCTCTTGGTCGATGTACTTTCTATCTCCAATCCCGACTACTTTGTTGTTTGGGCATCTTAGTTTGCAATTTATAAATGACAATGTAGCAGTTTTGTCTTTAAGGTCCCTCGATTTGACTATATGTTTCTCCCTGAATTTGTTAGAGGTAAGTGAGTCTCTCTGATGTAGTCGTGAAGGCACATGCATAATGTATGTACCCGACCCCCTACCCAAAAATCACGGCATAATTTTAATCAGCTATCGAAATATGACTTGATTCTCTTGAATTCACGGAAAGAGATTTTCACATCGTTGAGTTCGGGCATTTTTTTCGCTCTTATTAAGTAGAGACAGAGATCGGAGTGTGTCACTTAAATGCTATGATACTACCTATCTCAATGATTTGCCCGAATTCAGTCTACTTTCCCAAACCCATGAATTGAGACCTCCTTACCAGTTGGTCTAGCTGATTCCTCGCTTTGTCTGAATCTGAAGTTAAACTTAACCGTAGAACCTATTCACTTATTCGCTATCAACTGACCTTGCTAAGGTCTTAGAAATGTTCACTTCAAATCTGCAGGTGCATATGTACTACCGCAGCTCTGGAGCTAGCGTGCAGCATGCAAAACAGGAGTTGGTGCAGGACATGGCCTCTGGTGGTTTCACCGCCATCTCATAAGCGGAGTCAGCGGTGGCAACGAAGTCAACGTAATTGTCATTTGGTTCTCCCCCCCCCTCCCCCACATCTCTAAACTCTCTTCCTCCCCCTCTCCCCTCCTCTCCTCTCGTTGGCTGTGCCTCTTCTGCTCCCATTTCACTAATGGTTATATGCCTCCCGTCATTGCGCCTTTTTAGCTCTGATGGTGCACCCTTGTCTCCTCCATTCTGTGCTCGTGATAACTCATACTGCATATCATTTTTTTCCTCTTTTCTCACTTTTCTGCACCTTTTACTTTAAAGACTGCTTTCTTATTTTAGTTTATTGTTCGTGTATGCGTCTTTTTTTTGAGTGTAACTAACCGTCGAAATTTTAATTCTTGCAAGAGGGATGTATAAGCGAAGCCTTTACTACGCACGTCGTGTTGTTTAAGCTTACTTGATGGGATGTATTTTTTGGGAAGTTTTCCGTGTTTTCACGAATATCAGAGTTTGTACTTGACTACCTGAAGTGAAGTATCGTTTTGTTTACCTCAAATGAAGATTAATGACTTTTCCGGCGCCAAGCTCGCCTCTTCTCCAGTCTTCTCGATTTAAGGGCCCAGCATTTAAGGATTTAAGAGTGTTCTGGCCCATCGGCTCATGGTTTACGTCTAAAATCGGGCTTGCAATCTCTCGAGAAACCTTGGTCACAATATTCTTTGGGAATGAGACTGTCTGTTTTTATAGTTTTGCGAAGATTGAGGCGGTTTGAAAGCGGCAAAGCCGATCACCTCCCCAATTCGATGTTTTCTCCCCTGTCAACGTGTACCATCGTTCCAAAGTTCTACTTTCATACCCAAGTTGGATAAGTTCTGATGCTCTAGTGAAGTCGGTCATCGTTGTTCAATTGGTTTCCCCTCAAACGTACACATTTGACGCGTTCACCAACAGCGTCACACATAGGTGACACCCATACATTAGCTGACCGATTGGTAGTGTCAAGTGGTGGTATCACAAGGCGATTTGTTGTGTTTAAAACGGCAAATAATTATAGACTGCCACTGGGTCAGAATGTATTTTTCTTCACTTTCTGCGCAGCATAGCCGAACTGTAACTAACGCATTTCGGTTGTGACGCGTGATTTCCCTCTATGGCCCCGGTAGCAGAGGCATTACACTTTGGATTACTTCGAGTATTTAACAAAGGCTCGCCTACAACACTATACCCTAACGCCGAAAACCCAAACAGTATTTTATTCTAAATGGCACCTTGGGTACGGAAATGAATGAGGACCGGGAGATCCCCGAAAATTTTGGTGATGCTAGTTGCTAAATGTATTGGATGCCTAATGTACTTTGATTTGACAGACAAACCCCCTAAAATTTAACTTGCTTTTTGTATTCCAATCATTTCATTAACACTTCTAGTCCAAAAGTCATGTCAGGACGCCAAAATTGGTTTACAAAGTGGGGGATTTCCCTTCGTGGAATAACGCATTCCCCCTGTTTTGTTGCAATCTCGAATAAGTCCCATTAATATGCTTCCTTAATATCTCTCATCCCACTTTTGAACCCACCCCTTCATCTCTTTCTTAAATATAGTGCCTTTTGTAACTAATAGACATTTCCTTCCCAAAGTATCTGATTGGGTCGCCCCAGGTTAATTCTCCCATTGGATCATTCACCACCCTTCTGTAATGTTTCTTTGATCCAACTAAATGAGTGCTTGTATGTAAAAATCGAGGCGATTTCATGCCACACAGAAAGTGCGAAAGTATAAAAAGGAACCGATGGACAGTTATCACAGATCCACAGCAACAAGGAATTCCGCGAGATCTTCCAATTCCACGGGCATTTGGAAGTCACCCAGAGAATTTGGCAGAGGCGCGAATGGAAGGACTTCATTGGAAGCATCCCAATAATCGGAATCCAGTAGAAGTGTCGTCTGAGAGACCTCCACACCACAGCAGGTAGTCTTACAATTCTCTTGAGGTCGTTGTTCACGCAATCTCCTCCGAACGGCTGCTAGAAATTCAGGTTGAACTACCTCTTCCATGCCGTTTACCAGAGTGCACCTGGACAGCAGACGTAAAATCTAAGAATAAAGGGATTTCAAGTCTTAGTTGGCGTAATCGGTGGGACCGGCCGTCTCCCCAAAACTAGGTGTTACGCAACAAAACGACGTTTAGACGGATATTTAACTATGTGAACTTTTCAGTTTATCACGATTCGGTTGCTATGGTGGTAACTTTGGTTCTGGTATCCACTCGAACTCAACAGCTATGGCAACAGTAAGTGTATCTGAGCCAAAAGGTTGCAATCCGGACCTCGTCTGTTGGATACCTCATCTGATCGTGGGTACGAGAAGACATGACTGTGGATAGCCAAATTTGTGGGCCATGGAAACTGTGCAGAATGTCGGCAATTAACTTAACTGCAGATTTGGATGGCAATTGTGTTGTCCTACATATGTACGATTACGGTCACGGATGGACGGTATTTGCTACCGATTAGCTGCGGTCCCGGACAGAAGCCAAAGACTCCAGAGTGGGTGTCTTACTGCCGTGATTGAACATCACTAAAGGAGGAAAAAAGTGGCGAGGGGGATGACTACCGACTTCGTAAAGCAACCTTTGTTTTTAAGCAAACGTCTTCACAAATCTCGATAGGTACACAGTGTGCGCTTACAAAGGACATCGACATGTTCAGAGGTATACCGACGTATTGGAGCGCTTTAATACAGTTTGAAAAAAATGTGAATGGAAGGCACCGATATCTACCGAATTTCGACCCTTTTTCGTTAAAAAATGCTGTTGAGTTTTCGCTCCTTTCAAGAGGGAAGTTTTCAAATGCCAAGCTACTCTATCATGGGTAAAACAGAAGGGTATCGAGGAGGAGCAAAAAGGACGACGCTCGACGGAATAGGGGATATATGTAACATTACGGCGGTTGTTTTAACTGTACCAAAGGCTTTCCTGTCCCTGTCGTTTGTCCACCCGCTAGCGCCACTGCGTCCTGCGCTCGCCCATAGCTTTCCAGGCCTTAACTGCACTACGCCTTGGGGAAGGGCTTCAGCGACAAACATCGGTATTTCTTTGCCTCGCAATACTAACTGTAGTACTTACTTCAAACATTGCATAGTTAATGCCTGGAGTACAGAAAGCCATCAGGAGTAGACGAAAGTTAGCCTCCCATTGCCACATTCGCTGCCAACGTAAAATATCCCGCTATCATACGTTTGGGGGGTACGTTATTTGCCTCCTTATGTTAGCTGGTTGCACCAAGTTGTAGTGCAAGCATAGTACTTAAATGCATAACAATGAAGTAGATGTGACGTGCCCGCCGCCTATAGAGATAACTGCGTTTTTTAAGTAACCAGGAAGCACAGTTTTACATTGAATATCTCCTTTATGAGGTAAATGGTTAGTTTTCCCCTGAGACTTTGGTAGTGAACGCATTGATTGTAGTACATTACTGAGGAGTCTGCTACTGTTTTATTCAGTCCCGATACAATTAATCGAATTGTTTTCCCTCATGACAGAGGTTGTTCTTACAAGACAGAGAAGTTACGCTATTTGAGAGAGAAGAAATGTTCGAATGGTAATGTGTGGAGCATCATAGCTTAATCCCGACTACTGAACAAGGGATGTGGAAAATCTGATTTGAAAGATTCGACGACATCCCAGCTACTATGAAAAAGGGACATATTGGGCAAAAGTGAGCATGCGCCTAACTTGGAGAAGAAAAGCAGAACTAACCTGGGCGCTAGTGAGATTAGGGCAGAGTTGGCAGAGGGATGAGATCTTGACCTTATCAGAGCCTCCCTTCTTGGATTGCAGAATATGGCAGACTTGAATAAGTGGCAGTACCAGGTCCCTCAAATGTCGACCACGCCGATAGACCTCTGAATCGCTTTCCTCGGGTACCAAATCCCGATCTGAAAGCCAAGTCTCCAGAGTTGCCAAGTTGTGTCTTTTTAATTAACAAAAATTCATGTGTTATTTTGACATATGCAATTCGAAAAGAAAATATGTTGAACTTTTATTATTCAGATTAAACAATTTAAAAAAAAATGAGGACAGTTCCTGCGAATGGCGAGTGCATAATTCGTTTGGATGAGACTGTGTTGTTCAGGTTTTTAAAGGCGAGGATTCTAGTTTACAATCAATTTGTAAAGCAACAGATTATTTTAGGAGACCTTATTTATTTCTAAAATACAGGGATCCTAAAGTGGGTCCAGCTAAATCGAGAAGAATATCCCTTACCAAACTTGGATTTGGAGATTGGCCTTAAGTTTATATACTCGTAAATTATTCAATTTAATTACCATATTTCATCGCTAATTGTTTACATTGACTACGTTGGAGCTAGGGTCAAGTGGGTAGTTGGGATAAGGCGGCTTGATTTCCCGTGTAGTCTGAGGGGTCGAGCTGAGATTAATGAAGCAATAATTGGTAAAAGTACGTTCCTTTCGGACTGGATTTGAAAGGTCAAACTTTTGTAAAATTTTTGAGGCAAATTTAATATACTAGAACCTAGTAGTAACTCGTTTTGATTGAAGAAAAGTGGGATAGGTTGTGGTAAGTTGGCACATGCAATCAAATTGAGTATCACCTTCAAGTAAGTTTCTGTGTTAATTACATAGAAGGGAGGCGGTTTGTAACAAGTAGAGTAGAAATGAAACAAAATTGAGGAAAAGTATGACACCTTTGTCCTTCATTTTTTTAGTTTTGAATAAAAGGGGGCTCTTTTGGGTGACCAGATTTCAATCAAGTTTACCCAGATCCCTTCCCCAATCGCTTGGCACTAGGAGAATCTTCCCAAGTACATTGTTTTAAATTTTATCCAAGTATTAAAATAAGAACTGTCATTTCTGGGTGTATTGGACTGTTGAACTCGCGTTTGAGGGGAGGATTGGTTACTGACCTTATTTGTGCGCCTCTAGCCCAATTGCAGAGATCCTTTCGGAGTAGAATCGAATTCAGGGCGGACGAGCAGATATAGTAAAATATTCTGTGGAGTATGCACCACGTCAGACTAGCATCTGCGTTTATAGCTAAAATGCAAGGAATCTCAAAACATTTCGACGTTTATGTAGACCAAGCCTTTCCTTTCCACAACATCTGAGGTGGATATAACAAGAAGTAGTGGTGGATCGTTGTAATGGCATGTGAAATGATGTGGAGATCCTCATTTCTGCAAATTGTAGAAACAATATTTTGCATTAAACCTGAAGTCAGTTTACTTTCTCCGTTTATTCGACACATAAAAAGTTCATCAACAGCGTCACGTATTCGTGGCGCTACGATTTTCTGTCTTGGATCCCTACGTCACATATTTGAGACATAGTTAGTTGAAAGTATGGGAGAGTAAGCAATAACAATTTGCTTTATGTTGGAATACCAGTGCGCCGGAGCCATGGCAGTTGATTTTCCTCTGAGGGTGGGTAAGTGAACGCGTTAAAACTCT